AAAATACTTTATAACATAAGAAAAAAAATACGCTTAGCAACTTCTGACTCTGAAAAACTGTTCTGACAATAGTTTGCCATCATTTCTGTACCGGCTAATAAATGAAGTGACTTGCATGTTTAAGCAATTTGATTCAAATTATTTACTAAGTCAGAAACAATTACAATAAATTACAATAATTTTTTTTCTTTTGCTTCACAATCCTTAAAACCATGATATCCAAGTTTCCTGAGAAAAATTAATGTATCTTCAGGAGCGGAACTCAAAGTTTGTCAGCAAATGAAGCATTCATTTTCTTATTATGAAATCATATGTTAGATTCAGTCAGTTTATTTGCAAACTGGAAATCTAAATCATCTTGAATTAGTTGTTATTTGACAATAAAATCCCATTTTATGATTCCACAACTAGAAGGGCGAGCAAACTTCAACTTACAACAGGCTTCAAGAATAACATAAACTGGTGTATTACATGTACAGCACAATCGAATGATGGAAAGGCTTTCAGATGGCAGCTGATACTTCCAAGATTCCGGATTCTGGACATTCTTAAAGAACTACACAGCAGCCCTACAGGAGGCCACTTCGGAATAATGAAGACCTTGCAGAGAGTTCGTGAGCTCTTTTATTTGAGTAATGCAAAGGATGACGTGCAAAAGTGGTACCGATCTTGCGTTGCCTATGCCGGTCAGAAAGGACCAACGAAACGCAGCCGAGGCAATATTCAATGTTATAATGTAGGAGCGCCTTTTGAACATATAGCCGTTGACACCCTGGGACCTCTACCATGAACTGCTGATGTCAGCAAATATATCCTCGTTTTCATTTATTACTTCCCCAAGTGGCCTGAAGCGTATCCTATTCATGATCAAGAGGCTGCCACAATAGTAAAAGTAATTTACCTTGGATTTAAAGGTTCAGAGTGCCTCTTCAGTTACATTCCAATCAAGGAAGAAATTTTGCATCGTCTATAATTAGAGAACTCTGCAAGCTACTTGGCATTGACAAAATCCAAACGACATCTTTATATGCCCAGTCAGACGTCATGGGGAAGAGGTTTAATCGAACCATCCTGAATAACCTCTCATTGGTGGTTTCCAGAAACCAACAAGACTGGGACAAGACATTTTTACAGGCTTATCGCAGTGCTGTCCACGAGACTACCGGCTATTCCCCGTCTCAGATTTTCTTCGGTCGTGACCTTCGTCTGCCTTGTGATCTCTTGTTTGGTTGCCCTCCCGATGCACCTTCCTCGCCCGAGAAGTACATCCAAGATCTTCAGGCACGGTTAAAAGTGATGCACAATTTTGGGCGAGAGCGAATCTGCTTGGCGACGGAGAAGATGAAGACCCGATAAGACATGAGAGCTACAGGATATCGGCTCAATGTAGGAGACAAGGTGTGGTTGTGGAATCCGATTCGACGGAAAGGACTCTCTCCTAAATTACAGTCACCTTGGGATGGTTCTTACACAGTCCTAAAAAGGCTGAACGACGTCGCAGTTCGGATCGGTAAGTCATCGAATTCTAAACTTAAAGTCGTTCTTTACGACAGGTTAGTTCCTTACTAAGGTCATAGTACGTTATGTATATAATGTAAGTAGTATAAGACCATGGTTTTTTTTGGTTTCTAAATTTGTAAATTTGTGAGCTCATTTATTGATTTAGCATTTGAATTGTTTATGTTATTTATTGCAATCATTGTTTATGTTGCTTTTTATTGTATTGTAATGTTTATTATTGCATTGACGCTTTAGTTGTAAGTATGGCGTTGGCGTCCTGTCCAAGGGTTGTGCTGCTGGGAGTACAGTTCTTGAGTGGGGGACAGTGTTATGAATTTTGGTATTTAGGTAGCTTATTTTAGTAGAATTATTAAACTTGTTGTATTTTCCCGTGCATTGCGGCGCGAGACAAATTTTAAGAGAAATCTATGCCGGAAAAGTAAGAATACAAAGACACGTGCATTTTACATGGAGTAAATAGATATCTTGGTAATTTGTATTTAAATTGAATAAATAGATATCGTCAGCCACTCAACGCTCGCAAATTTGAAATTGTTGGAATTCTTGAATCTAGCCAATAGGAGCTCTTTTGCGCTAGTGGTAGAGAATTTGACTCGCCCAGCATCGAATTCCACTCGTGCGCTGCAGCATCGCAATGCAAAGCACAAAAGTTATCAGAAAAAAGTGCTTTTGCGAAAGCACCAAACTGGCTCAGGACGTCGTGTTCAATTTCCCAAACGATTTATGAAAAACTGATGTTTTTCCTCTTTTCCAGATTTTTAGTGCATTTCTTTCCCGGAAGGGAGATGATGGGGAGTTTCGCTTTCTCTCGTCCCTCATTATTTCAAATTCTTGATTTCTTCGTCTAGCGCATGCGCGATAAGAATCTCATTTGTGTGGTAGTGGAAAAGAACAGTTTCTTTCTGTTTTTTACAAGTTCATGTACTCTTTTTATTCATCACTGAGATTAATGTTATTCTAACGCTATGTACATATTTTGATTTATTAAAAGAATTTATTCTTATAAATGGCGGTTTAGCAGTTACATAGACCGGCCCCCCCTTACCGTAATCCCATCCTCTTATTGCTTTCCAGACGTATCGAGAAACAGAAAATAGTAGAACTATCTCGCGTGGCTGGTTGAAAACTATTTAAAACCAGAGAGAGACATCTCAGCTCAGTTGCTTAGTTATTATTGTAAGTTCAGCGTGAGATTAGTTAGCTTTCTCTTTGCATTGCGTTGTAATTTAATGTTTTTAGTAGTTTGAAATACAACTACTGATTATACTGCGTGATATTGTGAAGACCTGTACGAATAGCTCTGGGGACAATTCCAGCGTTTGTTACATTTCTTTTGATAAGAATAAACTTTATTAACCTTTTATCCAATCTATTACGAGCCCTACGCATGCAACAATAATGGAGCATTATTTATCATGTTGAAATGTAAATTATAAATATTATCTTAACTTGCATATATTGAAATGCAAATATGAAAATCTAGAAAGCCCGGCGGTCATACGAAATGACCGCTGTTCTAGATATTATAAATTGTACTCAAAATGATTTGGGTAAAGGTGTCTGTTAATTCAAACTGAATTACGCAGGGCAGGCTGCGAGGACGCCCCTTTGCTTAGTGCCCCACGGGGTTTCCCCCTTCTACTTGCTTAAAGTAGAGTGCAATGAAGGAAACCACTGGCATTACATTTCTTAACAGCCACCGCTAGCTCAATAAATAAAGGTGATTTAAATAATAAAATGTTAATTCACATGTCAAAGACCTCTTTGTACACAACATTTCTTGTGTAGATCTTTTCATCATTTTTAAGCTCGCCTTGCAGTGGACCATCAATTATTTTTAGTTTTACGTCCGTTCTTTCACGAACTCTTGAACAGGCAACATAAAGTTGACCGTGTCCGAACGCATGCTCAGGTAAAAAAAGGACAACACTCTTAAGCGTTTGGCCCTGAGACTTGTTGATGGTAGTAGCAAAGGCAAGTTTTACAGGAAATTGTCTATGTCTCAATTGAAACGGCAACCCTGTGCCGTGGCAACTTCACCCCATTGGCTACTACAGTTACGCAAACAACCAATAAACTATTGGCGACAAACAGACACTTAACAAAGACATATAACAAAGATATTTATTTTATTTTATTTGTTTATTCATCGTTGCCGGCTTTTGCCGGTTGCATATTTCCGAGTTTTATTATATATAGATGTTAAATTTATTTATTAAATGTTAAATTCACGTGCTCTTGTATTTTTAATTTTTTCCGCTCAGCTTTCTCATAGTATTCGTCACGCGCTGCACTGCACGGGGAGTAAAACAATTTACAGTTACGGCGACAAGCACTTAAGCCGCATATATCTAAGATAATTATTCTTTAAAATTTTGAAATTTGTTATTACTTTTCAAAATAATAAATGAGTATATAACAGACAGGTCAAACTGCGGCTCGTCGACACCTCAACCGCGGCTTGCAACCTTGCGGTTTTATGGCCTCTTAAATGCTACTTGCTTTCAATAAAGGGTTGCTTAATTTGGACATATGAATTTGACATTTTGAAATATAAATCATGAAATGACGCGTTTCTTTATTAATTACTAATTTGATTTCTTAAATTATATTATGTACGTAACAATTTAATTGATTTCAAATTGACTGCCTCAGGTTTATCGCCAGTATAACAAACGGGATTTCAAATTGTTCCATTTCTGCCAATTGCAGTTTCAGCCATATTACTTTTAAAGCAGATAATGGCTATCGGAATAGCATAAAATCAGGGGCGTAGCTAGAGGGGGCAAGGGGGTATCTGTCCCCGGGCACAGAATCTAAAGGGCGCCAAACTGATGTTACGACATTTTAGAATTAAATGTTTTCCATCCTTGGCAAGCAGTAGGGGGCGCGAAACCTTCAGTTGTCCCTGGGCGCTGAAAACCCTAGCTACGACTCTGCCACAGCCAACTCTATAACGCCAACTCTATGATACAGTCAGCTGTGGACTCCGCGTAAAATATACAGGAATTTAAAAAATAATCCTCTCCAATTTTTTTCCCCCCTCAGGTTGCTTTATATTTAGGCAGTTCCTGCTCATACTCTTTCGGTGTAAACCCTTTACTTCAAAACGACAATAGTGATCTGTTGTCTCATAAGACACTAACAGAAATTGGTTGTTAATTAAAAGTACAAAAGACGTAAAAGTGCTTCAGAAATTTCTTTCCATTCATCATGTATTTTACTCTGATCTTCTTCTTACCGGAAAAGTATTAGCTCAGAGAATTTGTAATTAAAAAAATTCTTCGAATCTACTCTGGAATTTAAATGACTAAGACAGAACCAAAACTAATTTTCCACCAAATAATATTTGGGAAAAGATTATTAGTAATTTGCAATTTCTTTCGGATTATTTCGGATAGTTTCCCTCGACGAAGCAGCAAATAGGGAAAAATAGATCAACCGAGGGAAAATGAAGTGAGTGTTTCGAATGCTGTTGCAGGGCGTAATACTGTTTGTTGATAAACATGAATTTAGGGAGGGATTTTGCGCTGGTTGTGCGTTAAATTTGAACATTTAATATTAGTTCATCGAATAATTTTGCAATTTGTTTTGGGGTCCAAAAAAGTTGAGGTTGTTTGGTTATAAAGATATGGATCTGTATGTATTAAGAATGAATGTGTTCTTGCTGTTTAAAATTTCTTTTTGATATTGATATGTATACAATTCGGTATCTGTGTTTCTACATGAATTTCTTGTTATTAATTTTGATTTTTTTCAGGCTTACTTTTTATATCATCCTGTATTCTTCATTGCTCCGAGTATCCTTTGGGAGACCAAATATTATTATATTGGTTGCTGATGATTTGGTAAGAAATTTTTTTGCTTTGAAAAATGCTCTTTCTGTTTCAAAATGCGTATATAGTTAAATTATTTCATGTTTTAATTAAATTAATGATAATACTTTCAACATAAATCTGTGTAGCTCAATATTTGCGTCATTTTAGTGACTTCCATTTTTAACATTTACCTCTTTCTTTTATTACTTTTGCATTGTTTTCTTATAAATTTAATCATTAATTCTGAATTGCATTTGTTCCCCAGTTGAGATATTATGGAAATATTGAACAGATTACATAACAATTCTGATTTTACACAGCAGTTATTTTGATGACGTAAGTTAATATTCCTAAGTTGGCATAATAATTAATACTGATAAGATCATTTAACAACTTAGTAGAACTGATTTTATGCTAGTAGCTGATTTTATGCTAGTAGAAAATCATTATTAAAGTAACAGAACAAAAAGATTATAAAAAGTGTAAGAGACTTTTAAAATGGAAAAGTAAAAGGCACCAGTGCCTTCATTACTTGTCAACTTAATATTCAGAAACTGTCTCCTTTCCTACCATTTAATGATATAATTTGATGATAATCCATAGAGGAAAATACGTGATTAAATTTAAAGATAATAATAGAAATGTTAATACATAAATTAATATATGATTTGTTTAAATATAAGTAACATTATTAGATTTGTTCAAAATGATACAAAATATTATATGAAATTAATGCTTAACCATTTTTCACAGTAGTATTAGATCATTTTCAGTTGCAAAGAGTGAGAGATACACTTGTATATTTATTTATCTTTATTGGTGCATAATTGAATTTGTAGTATTTAAAAGTATTCTTGTTTTCAATTTTGTATGTGTGAGAGATTTGTTTGATAAAATATCATTCATAATATACAAATAAAATTTGTGTGTCACTCATATTAATATTAACATAATAGTAATAAAAATAATTTTGTTTTGGTTAAAAGTTTTCTAAAATAATGTTAAAAAATTTTCAATGTGATATTTATAAAGGGGGTGCATGGAGGTCCCCTGATCTTGAGACATAAGGTTATGTGTACTATTAAAAAAATGATTAATGATTTAGGGACCTACATGCAGATGCAACCTCATAAATTCACATCTGTAAGTATTAGTATTCATATAAGAATAGCTATATGTCCAAATGAATGAATTATTATTTTTCACCCATAGTATTTTTTCTTTTAGTACGTCATTTAATATTTGCATATAATTATCTGTGATTAAAAAGCAAAACTGTGTGCAGTAACTTAATTTAAAACATTCTTATTCATTATGCATCGGTAAGTATCACATCTTAAAATCTGCTATAAAATATAAATTTTACTTGACCTACTAAATTTTTCAATAATGAAGTATATGCATACCATGTTTGCAAAAGTCCTCACCTAGTCTTTATTTTTAAAACTGTTGTAGGCATACACATCCAATTACAAAAGATGTACAAAAAAAAAAAAAAAAAAAAAAAGTTTTGTAAAAGTTACAAAATCTTAACTTTTTGTACATTTTTCTGATCCCTATACTCATATTTAGAAAAATGTTATACTCATTATAAAAAGATCAGTATAAGTGTGAATTCCATACCAAAACAAACCCCATATAAACTGACCCAGCTATTTAGTTTAGAATCTTTTAAAACATGGATGTCATATTCAGGGGCTGTATACAAATTGAACAGAAGTATGTTTCCAATTATATGTAACTAAAAAAAAAATATCAGCCGAGGAAAAAATTTCTTATATGAACAGATTAAGTAATGAGCATTTTTGTGTATATTATTCTGAAAAGTATTGATCAATATAATTTTTTTCAAATAAGAGATCGTTTTCAAAGAATCTTACAAATTTCTCATTTTTTTAAACACTGACAAGCTTTAGTATTGTCATATTGCCAACTTGTAACTTTTTTTACATAAATTAAAGTATTTCTAAGTAAATGTTTTTTAGATTAGGATTCTAAAGCAATGAAGCTGCACAAGAATATCAGTAACATATATTTAATATTTTAAAATTTATAAATTATTTGAATATTTTTTCAGCATACCAGTTCTAAAAAGAATTATAAATTAAAGAACATTATACCTAGTAAACCACAGGAATATCACTGAATTTCATTTAATAAGAAAAGTCAATCTAAAATTAAATTTATTTATTAACTGCCCTCTAAAAGCAAATTGAAAATGAAATCAGAAACTGCAAATTTTGAAATTAAATATCTTGTTCATTTGTTGCTGTATGAGGGTCAAACATTTGGCGTAGCAAAAAAGTTAGTTGACAGTGTGTGGCAACTTTTCAGGAGTGGGCTATGGATAATCAGAAAGGGTAAAAATGTATTTCAGGGTGCGCCTTGGCAAAACTGGCCAGCAAGGCACAATTTCAAGGTGGCCGTTACACAAAAACCAAAATAACAAGTCAAAGAATTGCACAAACTCTGTATCCATGCACACATCGATCTATTTTCACTTAAAAAAATCAGGAAATTGCACAAACTCTGCATTGCGCACTCCCCTGACTTTGTCCGTGGACACATCGATCTATTTTCACTTTAAAAAATATCAGGAAAATGATGACATCATATAATGTTAAAACAAAGTTATCACCAAAAGTGAACAAAATTTGTAGCCAACTGAAGCTCAATAAACTGCATTTTAAATCACACAATGAATTAACATAAAAAAGGAAATGCATGTTATGACATATATGCACTACAAAAAGGAAATATCGACTTACCATATTTAGAAATTTCTGTGTCTTCAGTCTGTGGCACACAAAATTCCTTAACAGCATCAAAAGACTGTAAAATTATCTGAATTAGAATATGCATACTGCCATCACCACATAAATTTTAAAAAATAAGGGTAAAAAATATCCTCCATAGTGCTAGACTGTAGGTGGCATTTCTTGCATGAACCTCTCTTGCGACAGACCCAAAGTTTCAAAAAATTATGCAACGTCTCTTTTCCTACGGCCTAGATCTCTGTCAAGTGTAAGTCCACATACTGCTTAAACTTAGTGAACTTTTACATGCTGTGATTATGGACAAAATGGCTCTGCTCATGAACTTTATATACTGCAATAACCCATGGACACCCACCTCTTTAGCATTATTATTACAATTCATTTTAACATTGTGTTTCAGTACTAATTATAATTATCTCATTATGTTTATCTGTTTATTAATTATGTTTATCTCCTATTTTTGTTGCACCAAATCAGATGTTCAATTTATCTTGTGAATCTCAAATTGTATTCCGACTATTTTGTATTCTACTTATGCCCTACATCATTATTTTTAATACATACTGGATGCGGGGCATTCTGTGGGATTGCACGATGTACCATGATAGGCAAACTCTAGACCTTTTGGAAAGCTTCACTCTATGCAAATTCTTATAAAACTTGCAATCCTCCCCATTTTATTTATTTATTTATTTATTTATTTATTTTTGTTAAAGAGTTAGTATGGGAAGGCATTACCAGTTGACCTATGGTACATTGCTGGTGTCCTCCATACTTTTACCTTTACCTCTTGCGACAGACCCCTCTAAAGCCATCTGAATGATATTTACGTCTAACCATATGCATTTCCTAGGTATAAACAAGACAGTTATCATGACTATTAAGTAAACCTTCATTTACACACCAGTCAATTAATGCTGTTTCCCCCCTTTTCTTCCAAATTGTACAGAAACTTTAAATGAATCTCATAACATACAACCATTTTACAGTGTACAGCACAAAATAAGCAACACACTTCCTAACTGACATCCAACGCAGAAATAAGCTCTTACAAATATTTTCCCATCAGTCAAATTCATCGCAATCACATCATAATAGGGTTTCTGTAACATTCATGCACTCAGGTTACCATAGAGAAACAACAATTTGGTGATAATCGAAAGGCCACCCTAAAAGATAGAAAGTACAAAAGAAATTAAGGTACTTTTCTGTTTTGCAGCCGCAAATCTCGCCAAGCAGACTTTATTGGCGACAACATACAGTATACAAATAAAAAATGTTAACAAATGTTAGTTCTAAGAATTTTTTATTTTGAAGGCATAAACATTTTAATATCATTTAAAATTATTGTAAAAAAAGCCAATTAATAAAGACAATTTGTAAAAAGATATTAATTTAAGAATTTACTATGCTTTCATAGTTCAACATCCTGATCCGCCTTTTCATATCATGTGACCCCAAGTCTCACGTAAACTTCAAAAATCTCTCTCAGTAATTATCTACATTAATTTCAAGTTGAATCTTAATTTGGAATACAAGTTTAAATGCAAGAATTATTTCAATTCGTATGAATAGCTTACTCAGAAATTATGTAAATGTGCGGCGCTTTACTTCGCTAGTGCATTTTCATTAGAATTGATGAATTTAACCCTTGACTTTCTATATTTTCGCCTTCGGATGAGCGGTGTGATTGCGTCCTAATTGACTTAATTACTGCAAATGGCCTTAGGGCATAAAATTTAACTATCTGGTAAAACTTCTATGTAATTGCATGCCAGTATTGAAAGAAACAGTCGATCTGATAAAAAATGGCTGCGAATTGTTTTGAAAATGAGGCATAAAAGGTTACCAGCAAAGATATTACATTTGGCATCAGTTGTAACCATTATTGGCGACTTTAACGCTTGTGCCGGCAAAACGGAAAAGTACCAAAATTGATAGATTTATCTAGCAATAAATTTTCAAAACAGTTCATTAATTTTTTTACAAGTTTTATAATTTATACTTCTTCAGTGGTAAAATTAAGTATAGTTTAATTGTGAATCAAATTTTCTTTTCTTATACATCTAATCTATCTGCTCATTATTAATCTTTAGGGCTGGAATGATCTTAGCTTCCATGGCTCATCACAGATTCCAACTCCAAATTTAGATTACTTGGCAAATAATGGTATTATATTAAACAATTATTATGTGTGCCCTATATGTTCTCCTTCAAGAAGTGCACTAATGACTGGTTTCTATCCAATACATACAGGTATGCATAAAATATGTTTTTTTTTAATTTTCTAGTTAATTATTTTGTGTAAAAGGAAAATATTGTATTTTGGGTTCTAATGCATTATCCATAAACCCTTAACAAGAATTACTAGACAAAGTGCTTTGGTACCAAAGTAGGCAAGCCAGAATTTTACAAATCTGTATTTATTTGGCAACCCACTTAATGGTTGCACACACATCATGCCAGCATGTAATACCACCATCTATCTTGGTGGTGGTTATGATAATGCACATGGTTTGGAAATTCAAGGGTCACATTTGTGGTTTCTACTAATTGTGATTAATGTATGGAGTTTTTCCTTGTAAGGAGTCATAATGTATGTGTGAAGTTTGCCTGTTAATGACAAAGCAAGTGTTGCATTTCTTCAAAATGGCATTTTGCCTAGTAGTAGAAGATGTAGGAATGGGCATTTTCAAGTTAATCTGTACAGTTCTCTAATTTTTGTTTTGGTACTTTCATGTTATTTGCCCAGCTCTGCTACAAAGTTGCCAGTCGTTGGCAACTGTTTTTTCACTAACTTAAAGCATGAAAAACGGTAACAATTTTAAAAAAAAATGATGGCACACTGAAAATTACATAAAACACCTATGAATTAACGAAATTTAAAACTAAAAACATAATAATGAAATTGTGAAAATTACACAAAACAAACATCCATAATGAAACACTGAAAATTTTATAAAACAATAAAAATTAACTAAATTAAAAATGCAAAAACATCCACATTAAAACAATTAACTTTCATTCATGGTCCATGTGTACAATGACCTGTTTTAGCTTAAAAAAATCAGAGAAATGCTGTATTTTCTGCATTGCAGAGTAAACAGGCATTGTTCTCTTGGGTACACATTGACCTGTTTTAATTAAAAAAAAAAAAAATCAGAGAATTGGAGAATTCTTGGCATCACACAGTAATTTGGCACTGCTCTCCATGTACACATAAACTTGTTTTAACTTTGAAAAAAAAAAAAAAAAAAAATCGAAAAACAGTTGCTTTTATTCGAAAAAAATTTTTTTTGACATTCTTCTTTTTCCATACTTGACACAGATACTTTTAGCAGATAATTCCATTAATCAATAATTAGTTGTATATGGAGACATATAAAGACAATACGAATGGAAGAATGGCAAAATTATGAGATGTGTATTCTTTAGATCGGCAATAAATAAAGTGAACAGGTTTCATAAACAGTATTCCACCACTCTCAAACCAATTTCCTACTAACACTGGAATATTTTGCTGGCTTTCTTTCATGGTACAGTTTCATACAATTTCAGTGGCAAATTTGAAAACATCACCCATTGTGTGCTGGCACAATGCACATGGATCATTAGTGTACATTGCCAGATAAAATACATTTCGTTATGTAAATTGCTTACTTTGGCGACATAGTGCTTTGTCTGGTGATTCTTCTCACACTATGTGTATAATGCAAAAGTACCTTTTTCAGTTAACACAGATTGATATGGACATGGAGAGCAGTGCTCTGCAATGCTGAGACTTCCACTAGTTTCTAAGATTTTGTAAAGTTAAAACAGAACACTGTGCACAGTGCAGAAGACTACAAAAAAGAAAAGTGTTTTATAATGGATGTTTCTTGCATTTTTAATTGCAGCCTTTTACACATTAGAATACATTGAAATAAATTTAAGTAATGAATCTGTGTTGTTTTTGCATACCAGAAGTATGCAATGTGTTAAAAATAAATAATAATTATCTTATAGATTGAAATAAAACATGTATTTTGTCATGCCTTATAAATTTATTTTAAACATGGATAAATTCATATAATGTTAAAAAAGGCTGAAATGTCAATTTAATAAGCATGTTATATCTTAAATATTTGAAATTTTTCAAGTGTCTTAAAAATTTATATTCCATTTCTCTATTCTTAAATCCAGCAGTTCTAATAATTCTACAAATTAATGTTGTGGTAGTTAAATAATTAGTAGGTTTGATTAGTATCTTAAGATCTGATGTTGCTGCTAAATATAATGTGTAGAAAAAAATTAAACTATTTTTGTGTGGGAGGAGAGAGGATTGAAGAAACAAAGTTGTTAGCAATTTATATTGGTGCTAAAAGAGTTCATTGAAAATGTAAATATTTTAATTTAATATAATTTTCCCCATTTCTCTACCTCTCACAATTATTTTATTAAAAAGAGGAGGAAGAGAGAAAGAAAAATATATTTTAACATTACATTTTTTTAAAATTAAAAAATGAGCTATTAAAGACAGTTTAAAATTAAAAATATTTTATGACTAAAAATTTTTCATATAACTGCCTTTCATGGTATCATTTTAGGACTGCAACATGGTGTCATTTCTTCTTCTCATCCATGGGGTTTGCCATTAAACAAGATTATAATGCCACAGTGGTTTAAGACTGTAGGGTATAAAACACATGCTATTGGAAAGGTCAGTTTTTGGCACTTGATTGCATGTCAAAAATTGCATCAGAAATCACTTATCATATAAGAATAATTTTTAAAGTATATTTGAAATATTATTTTAAAGTCGTTTAAGCATAAAATAATTAGATGCCTAAATTCTCATTAAGCATAAGTTTAAGCATAAAATGATTAGATGAGAATAGTTTACTGCATTTTATAGCCTTGTAGCATTTCAGTTTCACAGGATTGTAATAAATTTATAATATTACAACTGTGGGGAATTTACTGTAACAATATTGTACCTTGCTAAGAATTTGAATAGTATTTTTAAGAAAAGTATTTTATCCCTTCGAATTTAAGCTATGCTTTTTTTTGAAACCTTTAAAATATAAATTTGGAGTGTTGCTTGAATTCAAAGTGAATATTTTAGCATCTTATGTCTGTGAATTTTCATTGATCTTGTATTTCATTGATATGTCTAAAGAAATTATTAATATTAAAAAAATAAATAGCTGATATTTATATTAGTACCTCTTTAAGTGAATAAAAATATTTCTTGTTTTTTAATTCTTATTATAAAATAATATTTTTTTATTGTTTTCCTGTACCTTTCCCAGATTTCCAGTTTTAAAGCCCTGCTGCGGCTTAAATTTGAACATAGTTAGAAGTAATGTGGTAATAGTTACAAATCATATTACAAGTTGTTTAAATTAGAAATATAATTGTAATTACATTATACCTTACTAAGAATCTGCAGTAGCACTTCTCTCAATAAGGTATTATTAATCAGTCTCATTATTAATTAATTAGGCATTAAGCAATCATATTAATGAATCATAATTAATATGATTAATTAATTATACTATAAGTTACATAATGTAAGTTAGAAATGTTAATGTTAAAATTAGAAATACTGCAAGTTAGAGATATAAGCTAGCCAAGAATCTGTGATAGTATTTTCAAATAAGGTGTTAGTGAAAAATCATGTGACAAATTACTCAATTTAAATTATAAATGTTACTTATTCATCTTAATAGGTGATTCCATCTGAACATTGCTTTGAATTGTATGAAATAATTGTTTCCATACACTTTGTTTATTTTAAAATTGAGGAAACTCATCTTTGAAACATACTCTCTGAATTTTTTACCCTCGGAAAACAAAAGCCTTATTGTATCAAAATTTACAATGCGTTTTTGGAAAACTAAATCCATCTAAAGCAGAATTTGGTACTGCTCTGTTATCAGGACCGGGTTCAGAAATGTAATTTATATGTGCATGTATATATGTAAGTACAAATGTATATGTGTATACAAATACACATATATTGCTATAAAATTATCTAGCTGTAAATCTATTTAAACTGCATTAAGCAGTTGTAGTATTATAGCAAAAGAATTTCAATTGTATATTACCATTACAAAGTCAAAATATTCTAATTATTTTACGAGCTAAGTATTTTTCTCTGTAATGATTCAAAAAATTTCTTGAAAATTAGTATTTTATACTATATTTTTCAAAGAAATATAATGAAAATCAGTAAAGTATTGTTTGAATTGTATGATGTCATACTTGTTTTATTTTTTAATATCTTAAATGCTATAAAATTTAATTATATCTGTTTTCATTCTTAAATTAAGCAATAATTATGTGCAATAATTAAAAATTCATAGTTCTTCATTCATAAGCAGGATTAAGTGATATTAAGGATTGCATATTAGGTGCATATTGATGCACTGTTTAATGATTTTTAAGTAAATTATCTAAAATAAAATTTTAAACATAAATTATTTAAACATTTTATGTTTAAAAAATAATGTATTATCAGTTTTAACTTAGAATTTCTCTTTCTGTGTGTTTTGGTATTGGCAATCAAAAAATTTAATTTGGATTCAGAGTGTGTTTTCTCTTTTGTATAAAATTCATGCAAAGAATTAAAATAATTTACTTTAAAAAGTAGATTTTAGTTTGAATTTTATATAGAATGCTGGAAATATTATGTGTAATTTTTGAAGATTGATGAGAAGACCCTTAAAAAGCTTCTAGTGATGGTTAATTTTTGCCCTTTAATACTTATTTTCTTATTTATATGGACATATGTTCACAGAATTTGATAACAAAAAATATTAAGTATTAATATTTTAAGTATTTTCAAAAATATTTCCTCCTCAATTCTTAATTTTAGGGATTCTTTTTAAGAAAGTATCATTATCATATGTGAAACATCTTGCCACCAATTTCTGTGTCAGATATCATATTTACATATCTAGTCACATTTCTGAGTATACAGTATCTTCTTTGCCAGTATTGACAGCCCATAAATTAAAAATAGTACAGCAGCCCATAAATTAGAATTTGTAGTAGTAATAATAATGAAAGAAATAAGAAGTTTATAATTTTCAAAATGCATACCAAGTGAAAACATGTTATGACAGTTACAAAACAGTAGTTCAGACGCTATCAGTGCTGTCTTCTCACAGTAGTTGCAACCATGAATACTTGCATTGTTTCAGACTAATCCTTCCAGACGGAGGTAGGAATGGAAATTTTCTTTCCAAAACTTTTCTAATGTTCTCTAGTTACAAATTATTCTCTAAATGAGTAGTACTTTTCTTAGCTCTTGTCATCCTGTATCTGGCTAGCTGTATGGGTATAACTATGTATGGGTATAAATATGGGCCATTTTATGATCAGAGTACTTAGATCATTTTTGTTCTGTACTGAATTTACCCTGTATTTTGATCTATCATTGTCCCTGTTTTCATTCTGTGCATTATTGCAGCTTTCATATTTAGAAGGTTAAGTTAGGTTGTTAAAATACTGAAAACCATTCGAAGGCTATCTGCCTAAAAGAAGGGATGCCTTTGTAGAAGACTTTTCTAAAGAAACTGGCTCATATTCATGTTATTTATGGATAAAATGTTACTTATGCATTATTCTATTGACCATGAAAGTTGGCTAGAGATCCTGCCAAACTTCCATCCAAAAGATTCCATCCAAAATCCAAAAGATTCTTGCAGAAATCTGAAAGAGCTGGCTACTTTTTATTTAATAAACAATCAGTATTCAACCTGCTTCACTTTTGTGCTTTGCAGAAAGGCTTCTAAAAATTCTACCATTTTGTTAGGCCCGCTCATAATTTAACCTGATGCTCTATTTAGAATGCTATGAATACAAACCTTCCGCAAGTAATTGCTCTAATCTATTACTGTTTTATCAGCCATATTCAGATGACCATATTGAGTCCATTAATACCATCCTTTCCCTGATGGTAATATTCCGTAATTTTGAAAATAATCCACTGCTTGCCATTCTGTAGAAAGCAGGTCCCAAATTTTGATTTTGTTTCCCCCAAAATGCAAGGAAAAATACAAGTATAATAGTTAATTTATATCCTTGTGGGAAGGAAAAAAAGTGGCTTATCAAGAATCAGTTAGAGTTGCATCAGACTAAGGGGCATATATTATGGGTGTGTTTGATAAATATGACATGATTGTCATATTTATCCATTGTTGGCCTAAATTGAACTGCTTGGAAACTGTTTTACAGTCAATAGGTAAGTACTAGAAAAAGTATAAAAACCCCATAAGCCATTTGATGAGACTTGAACCTGGATCAAACTACCAGTATTCAACAATTTTACTGTCGAGTGGTTGTTGGACCTTTTTTTTTACACTACAATAATTATCATAGAGTGTGAAAGGATACTTGAATATTAACTGGTATCTATCTGCCAATACTTTGCCAAGAATATTTTACTCTACTGCAAATCTTGCAGCTATTGGAAGCTGGTTCAGAACTATATTAAAAAGTTGAAATTTACTTCTTTTTCCTTTTTATTATGTTTAAGGGAGCTAAAGGAAAGTAGTGTAGGTGCTTCTCCCTTTTAACATCAGCTTTAAGCTATTTGAATAAAATACATTTCTGGATCGCATCATTTTTGTCGTATCCCTTTTGTCATGGAAAGTTACAGGGGCAATATTTGATTGTCTCATATTAATTTTGATTTTATTTTGCAATGCATATTTATTATATTTGCAAGGAAATGAAACAGAAACAATCTGCTATTTCTAGACAGAAGACATTTTGCGAGAAAGCAGTGAAAATTCCTACTATTACGCAGTGAAATTGTACATGAGAGAATATGTATGATGGAAATGTATTTGTAATACTGACAATATGTTAGAATAGCAACTAAAAAATTGGTTTAAAAGAAGTAATTTTTCTTCATATTTAGCAAAACTGACATGGAGACAGAAATAAACTGCAGAGCATAACAATCTATTTGATTTGATTTTGAATGCAATTGCTAATGGTACTTGGGGAAAATAGAAAAAAAAAAAAAAAAAAAAAAAAAAAAAAAAAATGGGCCATTTAATACCTGTACTCAAAAGAGTAGTGATGCAGTTAGCACTTCTAAGTTTACAGAAAGTCTTTTGTTTTTAAAGGGAAAATTCTGAATATGACTAAAATAGAAGGGGTTATAACTGCCAAGTTACATGGAAAGAATCCTCAAGCTGTGTTATGATATGCAAAGGAAAAATGAGCATTTAGGATACCATGACTCGCTGTCTATGGACATGGTTGTTGGACCTTTTTTTTTTTACATTACAATAATTATCATAGAGTGTGAAAGGATACTTGAATATTAACTGGTATCTGCCAATACTTTGCCAAGAATATTTTACTCTACTCCAAATCTTGCAGCTATTGGAAGCTGTTTCAGAACTATGTTAAAAATTTCAGAACTATATTAAAAAAAAGAACTGAATTTTTCTCAGTATCTTTTGAGGGTTAGGCAAACATCAGAATTTTTGTACTTTTTCACATGTAGCAGCAAAGTATACTCTATATTTTGCATTACTTTATTTGACATTATGGTATAGTATGTGATGAATAGTATATTATACTTTATTATTCCTTATTGAATATTGACAATGTTTTGCTGCTAAAATTTATCATTTAAATTTACCGTATTAATGTAAATTTCATGAATATTACATTTTTATATAGCATTTGCATTAT